CTTCGAATAAAGAACCGCAGGAGCAAAACAGTAGTATATCTTGTTCCTCTAGAAATGACGTGAATAATGGAACTCAAGTCCACGATCTTAGTTCGGGTTTTTAGCCAAATCATTGATGCTTATGATGCTCGTGCTCTATTATATGGTGAAAGCCAAAGCAGTTTCATAATATCACAGTTGGCTAGCAAGTTGAGATTAAATTTGTTGGATATCAGTATGAGGGTTTGTGGTCTAAATCAAACTGAGTCCAATGTAAAATATAAAACTTCTCTACGCATGCAGTCTCGATACAATAAATTTAATACAAACATTTTGTGTCTAGTAGTGCCTGTGATCACTGGTACTCCGCCAAATTTTGCTGTCGACGTTAACTCTCTAGAAATACCTAACAATATACAATTGGCTGACCTTAAATTTAATATTCCTCGCAAAATTGACTTAGTTCTGGGGCAGAATATTTTTGGAGTTTAATGTATCTGGGTCAGATAAAACATAAAAATCAGGGCGCTGTTTTACAGAATAGTAAACTGGATCATTTCGGGTTCTGTATCTCTGGGTGGTACTTAAAACGTTCGCTGCAATCTCTGCACACATTCAGATATAGATAAATAGCTCGCACGTTTTTGGGAGGTTGAGGAAGTTTTTACCTCGAAACCCTTTTCTCAAGAAGAGAAATTGTGCGAGGCCTATTTCTCAGAAAACTTGCAGCGTCACGCCAATGGAAAATTTATAGTTACCTGCCCACTCAAAGAAAATCCTGAAGGATTAGGAAAGTCGTACAAATCTGCCAAAAAACGCTTTTTATCTTTGGAGCGGAAGTTCAAAAAGAACCCCACTTTCAAAGCAAAATATTGTAAATTCATTGATGAGTGCATAGCATTGGGAAATATGTCCAAATGCCCGATAACGATAGCGTGCAAATCGCATATTATTTACCACATCACGGGTTAGTTAGAGAAAGTAGCCTAACTACCAAATTGCGCGTTGTCTTTGATGCTTCTAGTCCCACACACAGTGGGTACTCTCTCAATAATATCCAGATGGTGGGCCCCACTATTCAACCTGTTCTCATTTCCACACTGATCCGTTTTAGAAAGTATAATTTTGTTGTCGCTAAAGATATCGAGAAAATGTATAGGATGTGTCTTATTAACCCCGAGCAAAGGCCATTACAACGCATTTCATGGCGTGAGCACCCTGACAACCCTATAGAAATTTATGAGCTAGCCACAGTAGCTTACGGCACCTCCTTGGCTTCCTATTTGGCCCACTGATCTCAAAAATAAATGGATAAACAATCGTGTGACTTGATTGGCTAAGATTCCACCAATTCACTCCAAGTTCTAGTAGGCATTCAAACCTTAGATAGTGGTTCTTTGGTAGATTTCGGTGTCCACAACAGCACAAAAACTTTTGAGTTACTATGGGGTGCACAGTCTGACTCTTTGACTTATAACATTGCTTCATCATTCAGCAAACAAGTTACCAAGCGAACTATATTCTATCTGAAACGTCACAAATCTTTGATCCTCTTGGCCTTTTAAGTCCCTCTATTATTCTAGCAAAGATTTTACTACAGGATTTATGGTCTGAAAATCTTTCTTGGGATCAAGGTCTCCCAAATTATTTGCATACCCGGTGGCTACAGTTTCGTAACGATTTATCCTTTTTTAACGATTTGAAAATTGCTGATTATATAAGTGCAGAACTTCACGGATTTCCAGACGCTAGCATTCAAGCTTTCGGTTCAATTGTCTTGCGAACTCAAGATTCAGATGGTAGGGTCAAGGTTTCCTTAGTTTGCTCAAAATCAAATGTCGCGCCAATTAAGACGCAGCCTGTTCCCAAATTAGAACTTATGGGAGCACTGTTACTCACTCAACTCATGGAAAACGTGAAATCGTCTTTAAACATACGCATAGATCGGACTATTCTTTGGTGTGACTCTACAATAGTATTGAGTTGGCTGAAAATCTCACTTAGCCTTCTACAGACATTTTTTGCCAACTGTGTCACTAGGATTCAAGAGTCAACCGATAGTCCCGATTGGCGTCACGTGCCCAATTCTACTAACCCTTGCGATAACCTTTCCCTGGGTGGTATGCCTTTAAGAGGCACACAAACCCTTTGTTTATGTGTTATCAAGTGGTGTTGTGAGATTTAAATAGTGCTTATCGTGAATTATTTGCGTTGTTATACCTAAAACTGTTGTTTTCATTAATATTAGGAATAGTGTATGTAAATAGTAATTTGTAATCCTCCTGCAGGCCATATTTTGCTTGTCAAAGTCACGTGTTCTGGATAGGCTAATACAAATAATACACTTTTGATAATTCAAAGGAACTTTATTAGACCATCCAAGATGCTGTCAAACTTAAATTAAAATGTCCGCCAAGAGGCATACAAACTCTTTCCGGCCATATTTTGCTTGTCAAAGTCACGTGTTTTGAATAGGCATAGACTCTCCAAGATGCTGTCAAACTTAAGTTAAAATGCCCGCTAAGAGGCACACATACCCTTTCCGGCTATATTTTGCTGGTTAAAGTAACATGTTTTGGATAGGCTAATTCTAAGTTAAAAATTTTAATACAAAATCTAAACGCTATTGAATTTATATTAATTAATCTACGACAAAACCTTTTTCTTCAAGTTATGACATCATCGTCATAAGTAAAAACCTTCGTGAAATGAACTTTATGTATTTGTCAATTTTGAAACTTTCATTTAAATTCGATACTTTTTTGGCTTTTAAGTGATTTTATCCTCGACCAGATTAGTTTGTTCCCAGAAACTCTACGTTTTTGTAAATCCTATTAGGGTCACATTTTAACTATCTATAGAAAAAAAAAAAACTGTTTTTGGTAATTCCCACGAAAGATGAACTTGAACCGAGATTATGAATTTACTATTGATTTTGTTACAAGGCGAGTTTCGTATACAGGGTGGGGCACGAAAAACTTCCCACCCAGAGTTTCTCAGATGTTAGGTGTTTAATCAAAAATCGCTCAGACACGTCAATTTTTGTTTTTTTTGGGACACATTTTATTGGTATTTTCACCCCCTACCTGTCAACCCCTAAGTGGGGGTAACAGGTACCCCCAAAATTTCAAATAGAAAGAGAGGTCGAGTGATATGTCATTTGGTAGCTGTTTTCATTAAGATTATATCCCCGAAGTATCAAGTTGCTAGTGTTTACCCTGTCGAAATTGGCGGCATGTCAAAGTTAGGATAAATGCTTTTTTTCGATAATCTAAGCTGTATAGTTTTTACCTGTCACACCTATGCGTAGGTAACAGGTAAAAACCACACAGCATTTTTCCATTGATTTTTCCTAACTTTGACAAGTCACCATTTCGACAATGTAAATAGTAGCAACTCAAAACTTCGGGGATATAATCCTAACGAAAATAGCTATCAAATGACGTATCATTCGAACCTCCTTTCCATTTGAAATTTTGGGGCTACCTGTCACCCTCACTTAGGGGTTGACAGGTAGGGGTGAAAATACCAATAAAATGTGTCCCCCAATAAACAAAAATTGACGTGTTCGAGGGATTTTTAATTAATCACCTAACACCTGAGAAAACCTGGGTGGGAAGTTTTTCGTGCCCCACCCTGTATACCATGCGAGTGTATTATTAGCAATTGTATGAGAGTTGCATACACTTTTTTTTCTACTGCCATTCATAAACGAAATACATATCATATAATACAGAGCTGTCTTTCTCCAACACATATTTTTTGTCAATCGAAAGCAGGTTGCATTTAATAAGTAGGACATCACATTAAAAACTGCCTAAGAATAAATAGTAAAAAGTCTGTTATTATTTAAATTTTTTTTGGAAAATAATTGGGTCCAATATCCCTTTCCGAGAGTACAAGATTTTTTACCTATTTAACTTAAAGCTATAAATTCCATTATTATTTTTTCTAAATCCAATTGGTTTTCCTTGGGGGAGAACAGTCCCGAAAAACGAACGTAACAGCAATAATCTAATTGATGCTGACTTGGATGCTAACAGAAATTTGTACTTCGCTACCTAGAAATTAGAAAATAGTTATAAGCGTCCGTTCTTATTGCAATTTAATTTAAATTTTTTATTGATCTTGTTGAGTATAATTAAATTGGAAGGGCTGCGTACTTCTTGTCGATAGTTTATCTTTTCTTTTTGTTTTCAATTATTATCTTCATGGGATAAGCACTGACTTTCCTGCCATCCCAAGTTAAAATTTACTTTCCTATTTGGATCAGATTTAACGGCAATAGATGCTCTTTCGAACCATAACAAAAGTGTTCCAGGTAGCACCAAAATACGTGACATAATTGTCCTTTTAAAATCATTTTATTTTTAAGGTACCCTACTTATAAAACTGTGAAAATATTTTGTCAGTTCATATTCGTGGAAGCTATCATAGGGATTTAATAAAGCCGAAATATTCACCTCTCTTTCGTTGACTTTTTCCCGTTTTATTTGTATAAACATCCTCAAGAAACTACGCTGCCTGGGCACTTCTTTTTTATTTTTCTGAAAATAATTTGTCACAATTCAATGCAAGATATTCTCGCAGTTTAGTGTTTCTTTTTTTTTAACATAAAATTATTCTTCAACAGAATGAGTCGAAACAAGTTTAACATAATTTATCTATTTTGATGGGAGAAAATGCGTTTATTTTCTTCCAAATCATAACCATCATATCTTTCACATAAGCCATCACATACCATCCAAAATTGTTGCTTTTTAACATGCAAAAATCCAATTTCAGTTAATTCAAAAACAAATCCTGCTTTAAATATATCTCTGTATATTAAAAAAACCCTTCTGGTATACATATGTCCATCTAGGATAACTATCAAGAAATTTAAACGTAAAGCTACGCAAGACGAATTAGGTTTGATATCCTTTATGAGAAGGCAACTTTGATCACAGTTGAACTTATAAAATTTCCATTTAGGGTCATTTTAATTTTCTAATGTATTTTCATTGTTTTCTTTTTTTCAGAATGTTTCAGTCACTGTATCCATACTAACTCTGACGTTCATATCAATAGACCGATGGTATGCCATATGCTACCCTTTAGCATTTAGATCTACTACAGGAAAAGCTAAAACCGCCATAGGAATAATATGGGTCATTGCTTTTGTATGTGGTAAGTTACTAATCAAAACTGAATAACTTGAAAAAGCTGGTAAAGTTATTTTTATTCTTTGATGGGGTGGATTGTGCAAATTGAAATTTATACTTAAGAAAGAAATAATAATAAAAACATTTCTACAATTTGTAGTATAAGCCTACCCCACAGACTTCTAAGTTGAGAGTAAACTAAAATATGTCAAGGGGTTGTTTCTTATTTCTTCTCTAACCTACTAAAAAAATATTTCAAAACTTACACTAATAGTGAAACACGGAAAGTAATATATTTAGTTATTCCAGAACTCGTTCAATAGTTCACGTTACCAAATATCCTTTCTCAATAAACATGTTCTAAAAGATACTAAGCAGTAGCTCTACAATATAATGTATCATAAAACCGTTCCTTCCGTACCTAATTAATTGCACTGAAAACATTAAATGTTTATGTTTCCTCGGTAAATCTTCCATTTCAGGTGTAAGTACGGTAATAATTTCGCTTACTTTCTTATAGAAACATTGTGCGCGTTAGGTGAATCCCTAAACTCCTTCACAGAATTATCTTATCCAGATTCAGAAGTCTTTACTCAACGATCGCAATTACTGTCAGGAACATATTTTCTAAATAAATTATAGCCAACCTTATGTAAAGTCACTACTATACGCATCAAAAGTTATGCCTTTTTTTCAGAATGAAACTCTCCTGAAGTCGTTCCCGCTGTTCTGTTTTTTTTTTGTGCCTACAGGTTTTCTCTTCGATATTTTTTTGAAGCGCATCAATATTTGATTAACTTGTACCATTTCGGCTGTTTGCTGTCATGTATTTATGACAGAATATACATTTCTGGAAGCTGATTTTAAATATAATGTCTGATGGCGAAGTGAAGATTCTCGTATCAGGTCTAACTATCAAATAGCACTCTGTGGACTTTTTTTAATGTCAAAACTAGTAGTAAAGTCACCAGTTCAACAAAAGTTAATTTTCTGTTTCCACTAATTAGCTCAAATCAATCTACTACCTCGCACATCATTCCCCTAATTAGCGCAATCTACGCTACTAGTTATGTCGCAAATTGTTTCACTAACTAGCTCCAATTAATTGTCTTGCTATTATTCCACTTTGACATCAAATTACGAACTCCGCAGGTTCACTAAAACTCTCAATAACAATAATTTCTATTGAACTAATCGACTTTACAGAATTCACTCAACTTGCAAACTGCGCGCTTTATATAAAAAGTTATTCAATTGAGAAATGTCTGGAATCACGTGAATATTTGTTTATTTACGGGTTCCAATGCTATTTCGTCACAATAGCTAAGTATTTCTCCTGAATACACAACATCTACACTACGTATTACACAATTTTGTTCATCTAAGTTTCTTAAAAATCTTTTGAAATGCGGCCTATAAGACTAAGACAGCTCGAATAAGAAACGCTCACAAATGAAAATTTATAGTAAGCGGAAGGGTTAAAACGATTTCCCTTTTCTATTACATTTTTATTTTGTTACAGAAATCCCCGAGACAATATATCTCGTAGCTGAGCCATATGAAGAATTCAAAATCTATCTAACACAGTGTACTCCAACTTGGGATGACAAGACTGATATTGTTTTCATGATTGTCAGAATGGCGATGTTCTATTTTTTCCCTTTAATTTTAATGTCAATTGCTTACATTCAAATTATCAGGATTTTATGGTCCAATACAGAATCCAATCAAGGTAAGAATGAGGCTATGTGTCAAAAATAAAGAATTTTAATAATGTTATAATTTACATTGGAAACCCTATTAGATGTTTATGTAAAACCGCTGAAAAAAGCGTTATGAAATTTTATTCTCCTACATAACTCTCTTGACTTAATTTTGTTGCACTTCTAGCGTACATATGAAATATTTGCAGCTAGTTTTACCACAGAGTAGCAGCAACTTCGATTTTGAATTAAAAGACCCTGTATCTGATGTTATGTCTGGATCAACCACTTTTGAATTCTTTTATATCTTAATTTTTTATAAAGCAACAATTGCAGCTCTGATAATTATGGGCCAAATATTATAAGAGGGCCAACAGGGGTAAATAAAGAAAAACTTTTGGGACACGACTGTGTGGTGATACATAATAATACATTCACCTATGTTGCGGAAATATTCAAGCTCCGCCGCAACCTACATAGGTACTGTAAAATTCAACAGCAATTTCTTATAGCAGCAACTTACCGCTTCCCATCCATTAGGGCTAATGTATTTTTAGAAAACTTGACAATTTAGCTTCACAGTGTCTCTAGAAAAGGGGGGGCCACTTTCAAAAATATAAATTTAATTATTATTGGAGAAATTCAGTTCATCAAACAGCCTTTTAACGTCCACTGTCCGACACAGGCCTCCTCTTAACGTTTCAAAATGTTCTCAGTTGCGATCCAGTTTGTTCAAATTATTTTCAAGTCTTCCGACCAGCAAGTAGGAAGTCTTCCTTGGTATCAGTGTATCTAACTTTCCAAAATATACCTGTTTCGATTTTCGATTATGGAAAATATTTCACGAAGTAGAACTATAATTTATCTCCGGCCTTTAAAGCACGCGCGACATATTTTCTAAGCACGACGCGCAGCTACGGAGTGTTTTGTAAGTCGCAAGGGCTTTAAAGGCCTTCTTATAAACGCATATCATACCCTATTTTTTTATTACGAATGCATTATAATCAAAAATGTTTTAAATGTGTTCATTCATTTTGATAAATAGTAATTTAAACGGCGGGTAAATATCTAGGTAACAGACGTAGATGAAACGTTTCTATAGCAAACCTTTGTAAAGGTAGGCGCATCATAAACATCATTTTATGCACGCTGCAGCGTGCGATAATAATTGTTGATTATGATGCATGCGTAATAAACAAATAATTTTAAGGCAACAAATTGTATCTTCCAAATTTGAGTTAGATCACGAGGGTGGTATAGTGGATAGATAGGTTGGGCGAATTCAGGCTTCAAAGCACCAGGAACTGACGGCATCTATCCATTCCTACTTCAGTGTGACCTGGAGCTACTCTTGGCGCACCTGTTGGATGTTCAGGGGTGCATTCAAGGACGGCAATGCTAATGCCAAAACCTATTTTTCCCCCTCCACCTGTAATGCCGAACCACGTAGTTTGGAGCCGAACTCGAACGCAAAATGCCAATTTTGGCTTGGCTGTAGCCATTCCTGAACGTAGCCCCGGGCTTCCTTGGCGTTGAGATACGGTACCCAAGGCTTGGAAAGAAGTCGGAGTGGTGTTCCTACCCAAATCCGGAAGGATGGACACCATCCCCAAGCATATCGCCTCATGAGCATCTCATATTTTTCTCTAAAAACAATGAAGAGGCTATGCGAAAGGTCCATAAGGGATGAAGTGCTGTCAACCAATCCAATCCACCCTAATCAATACGCATACAGTGCTGGAAGATCAACGGGCACAGCCCTTCATTCCGTTGCTGGGCGGGTGGAAAAATCGCCGGGTATTCATCGACATTGAAAGGGCCTTTGGCAAAAACGCCTTTCAAAAAATTAGCCACTCGCTAACAGAAACAAATACTCCGGAAATTGTTATCGGATGGATATTACATATGCTTTCCAAAAGAATCGTACAGATAAGTGTGTAGGATGTCAACATTTAAGGAATGGTCACAAGGAAGCTGCCCGCAGGGCGGCGTGCTATCACCTCTCCTGTGCAACATGATTCTTAATCCGGTGTTTAAGCATAGTTCATTGCACTCAAATATGCAATCAAAATAAACCATTGTAATAAAAAAATACGTAACTGAACGACACAGTTAAAGAAGTAAAAAATAATAAAATTTGATATCATTACCCACCAATATAAACGCCAAAATATTATGACGTCACCGACCGACTGTGCAGAGAATCATCAACAGATGGCGCCACAGAAGGATCTTTTTTTTTTGTTATCAAATATAATAGTCCAATATGCCGCTTGGAGCTTCTTGGAGATCAATGTACTTGGAGACCCAAAATGCCTGTCCCTGCCTATTCGAGGCATCCTTCTACAGGGATGGAATCAGTTTTGACTGAATTTCGTGAAAACATTTTACTAGAAACATTTACCAAGAAATAGGTGAATTTTCAATATTTTCGACCAGATTTAATTGGACGAATCCCAGGAATTTTTCACTGCAAATTGTTACAATATTTTCAAGAAGGCATTCAGCGTAAAACTGATTCCAACCCTGATAAACGATACCTTCGTCCGCCCTTCGTCGACTAAGTAGGCACACAGCACTTTGCGACCAGTAGCGGCATTGTTTTGTTTTCTTTTTAAAGTCGATGCCACCATTTCAGTAGGTACTGTCATATAATTGAGAAAATTACCTACATTTTGTTGTTCTATTTTTATAATTTAGGATCTGATTTACACCATAATGACTTAGTTGTTTGAGAACAGCTGATTCTAGATGCAGCTGATTTTAGACGATTGACATTAGTGAGGTTAAAGTCTTGGCTGAAAAACAGATTTCATGTATGATCTCTAGAATTGTGATTTTGTAACAAACAGACCTTGAGACGCCCCTGGATCGTCTAGAGACTAGTTTGTCATTTTTTTTTACAATTATTGATTAATTCTCAAATTGTTCTCGTTGATGAGAAAACGCACAGAATCTTTTATATATAGTAAATTTTGTTATTCAGTCAATATATACGTGCCTAGTTGTTTAAAAGGGGGGAGATTTCATGGTGCTTTGCTGGAACCCACTTAGAACTTTTATACAGGCGCCCAACTTAGAGGCCAGGTAACTGCTGTGATTTCTTATTTGGAAAGGTGCGTCTACCGGGTCCTTGGACACTTCGTGGACAAAACTGGCCGGTTCCGAAAGACATTTCGGCTAAAAGTGAGTGATTGCGGATTTTGGACGCTTTGTGGACAAAAGTGGCCGGTTCTAAGGAACTTTTCGGTTTCAAAGCATTGGTTTAGCTTTACAAGATTTGTGTACACCGTTTCTTGTGAAAAATCGATGTTAACAAACTGTGAGTAAGTTTAAATCCAACCATACGTCAGAAGGTATATGCATAATTTACTTTCTCGCTCTCGCTGCCAGTCCCGTCAAAATATTTAGATCCAACTATGGCTGTAACGTTGAGAGACGAACAATTCACTCAGTTATTGGGCTAGATTAACTATTGCTCTCCAAAATCAAGTTGTTCCTGTTTTAAGCGGCAAGTTCGCGAATTGTGCTTCTCGTTTCGATGGAAATAAAAGCTCTGACGTTAATGCATTTATTGACTCTATATCAATCTATAAGGACTGCGCCCAAATATCTGAAGATAATGCTCTCAAGGGCTTGCCGATGCTGCTTGATGGATTCGCCGCAACGTTAACACCTGGGCAGACGCTCTTAATCTATTGCGAATTACCTTCGATCCAAAAAAGCCACTTTATCGTATTTATCGAGAATTATTTGCACACGAGCAGGACACTAATATGGCAACAGACGTTTTCATCTGCAAGGCACGTTCTCTACTTGCTGAACTGCCTCCAAATACTTTAGATGAACAAGTGCAGCTCGATATGATTTATGGTCTACTTAATCGCCGGATTCGTGAGAAACTTCCCCGTGATAAAGTTGACAATTTTATCGAACTCTTGTCTAAAGCTAGACTAATTGAAGAAACTTTTGAACGCGCGTTTGATCGCAGTAATAAAAACAGTCTTGAAACCGTTCGCTGCCAATTTTGTCGAAATCTCGGGCATACTAAAGTCGTAAATTTAAACGCTCGCAGCAATCAGCACCTGAATTCCATTCATCAGCAGCAGGTAACATGCCAAAGAATACTGCTGCATCCCTACAAAAACCCTTACATGTTTCGCCCACTACTACTACATGTTATGGATGTGGTAAAGTGGGGTTCATTCGAACTAACTGTCCAAATTGCAAAAAGACGGAAGCTACGTCAATGGATTTTTTTTGTTTCGACACTTTGGTCAGCCCACGTGAACGTCCAGTTTTGCAAGTCAACATTTCAGGTCATGTTGGTCAAGGCCTTTTTGACACAGCGGTCAAACAAAGTGTTGCTGGCCACAGTTTGTTCAATATTTCACAAAGTGAGGGCCATACATTTCTCAATGAGCGAATATCTGTCAAGCTTGCCGATGGACAATGCCACTCCAAAGACGTTCTCACCGCCCTTGTAGATGTTCATAATAAGTATAAAGTTATTCCCACGCAATTTATCGTGTTTCCAGATACACAAACCGTACATTATTTGGAATAGATTTCATATAAGATGCAAAAATCATTCTGGACACTGCCTCCCAAAAATGGAGCGTTTCTGATGATCCGGAAATTGCTTATCGGTTAGACTTTGAAAAATCTTGGACTCCCAAGATTCAATCAGAAGTGGCCATGTCTTGTGTTGACATCTTAGGCCCTGATGAGGGTGCTATGTTGACCACTGAAAAAAGAGGCAAGTTAAATACCTTACTAGAAAGTCGGAGAAATATTTTTGAAGTGGGGGGAGAATCAACCCCCTTTGCGAATCATTACATCAACACAAAAGATCATTTGCCAATAGCCATGCCACCGTACCGTATGGCACCTCAGAAAAAAACTCTACTCAAGGATGAATTAGATCGCCTTCCAGAGGAAGGCATAATTGAAGAATGCGAGAGTCCATGGGCCGCACCTGTGGTTTTAGTACCCAAGAAGACAGGCGGAATGCGCCTGTGTATTGACT